ATGGATGGATGGATGGATGGATGGGTGGATGGATGGATGGGTGGATGGGACAGAAGGGTTTATAGTTGGTCATAGGTGAGCCACGGTTGTGGAAGAGGAAAGCCAGGGTGACAGTGACAAGGGCAGGTTGAGGCCGACTTGGGTCAGCTTGAAATGGGGTTTCCTCTAGAAAGGATGCTAGGTCAGGACTGAACCTAGAATAGTCTAGCCCCTCTTGTATTTGGAGATGGGGTTTGTGGAGATATCCAGGGGGCGACACTTTGTATTTGGGATAAAATTAGCAAAAGGAAGGATGAGCGGGAGGAGAGAGGTGGGTGGGCACTTGGGTCAAAGGATGATGAGTGGGTGGGCGGACGAATGGCGGGTTACATGTGTGGGTGGATGGATGCATGCATGCGTGGGTGAATGGGCAGATACACACATATATGCGTGAATGGATAGCTGGATGGTTGGTTTGATGTGTAGATGATGGGTTCACGGGTGGGTGGATGCATGGATGTCTGCACGGATGAATACGTTAACAGCCACATGGATGGCTACGTGGATAGCTGTACAAATGCGTAATTGCATGGTTAGTTAGGTGTATGGAGTGCCCCAACCTGCGGGGAATAATGTGAGCTCACACCCCAATGTGCTGCAGTCACCAAAGAACCTAGAATGAAGGGTTGGGGGAACAAAGAACGACAGCAAGACTGGTTTCTGATCAAGCTGCCAATTTTTATTTTTCACGGGGACCTTATATAGGGGTACCAAGCGGGGAGCTTGGCAGGAAGGGAGAGGTCGTTTGAGGCTGCTTGCCTGATAACCAGGCTGAGGAATGTCCCAGCGTGTGAGTCCTTGAGAGTGCAGGAGGTTAGCAATGTCGCAGGGTGCAGGTGTTAGATAGTGGGTTAGAAAGGGGGAAGGGTTGCTAGGTTACCTGACCATGAAATGTGTCTTTCCTTCTATGAGCTACTTCATGAGCCCAGACATTATGTATCAGCCCAGTAAAGGATTGAAGGCAGCTATTCTTCTAATAATAGTGTGTTTTATACTGGCAGCTTCTGCCCAAGTCTCTTACAGGTCCAAGGTTACTTTTGCCATGGCCCCCAACAATGGACGGACTGATGGATGGCTAATTTGTTGTATACATGGATGGGTTCATGCTTGGATGGACAGCTATGTGGATGCATGGATGGATAAATGATGACTGCATGGATGGTTACACACATGGAGAGCACGACGGCATGGTTAGTCAGGTTTACGGATGGGCAGATGGAGGCATGCATGAATGCGTGGTTGGGTAGGTGGCTGCGTGGTTGGCTGGTTGTGTGGTGGCTGCATGACTAACTGGATGGATGGATGGGTGGATGGATGGGTGGGTGGGTGGATGGATGGGTGGATGGGTGGATGGATGGGTGGGTGGGTGGATGGATGGGTGGATGGGTGGATGGGTGGATAGATGGATGGGTGGATAGATGGATGGAAGGAAGAGGTGAGTGTTATATATGACAATAGAATAATTGGGTTGCTGCAGAGTGGGCATGGGGTGGATGCATTGTTTAACATTGTTGGATGGAGGCCTGACCGGCCAGTAGGATAGCCTGCTCTGAGGACAGTCTGAGTTAGAGATGAGTTCCACATCAATACTGGGCTAAGATCAGGGATAACTCGGGGGTTTAGACTCTCACTGAGACCTTTAATCCCAGCACTTGGGAGGCAGAGGCAGGTGGATCTCTGTGAGTTTGAGGCCAGCCTGGACTACATAGTGAGGCCCTGTCTCTAAAAGCCAAAACAGAAAGGAGAGGGGGGAGGAGAGAAAGGGGGAGACAGAGACAGAGAGACGGACGGAGAGAGAGAGATTGAGAATTTTAGGATCAGGAGGAACTTTGAGGGAACTTCTGGGGCTATAGTCAGTGGGAATGCCCGGCATTCCCTGAGGCCCAGGCTTTGCTCCCCAGCACAAAGTAAACCAGGGGGCGTTGGTGCACACGGGTGATTCCAGGCAGGATATCTATCAAGCTCACCCTCAGTTGCAAGGTAAATTCGAGGCCAGTCTGGTCTCCCTAAGACCCCCGTGTCAGAGACACAGAGACAGAGAGAAGTGAGTTCTGATGGGGTTCCGTTGGGAATCTGGAGGGATGGCTAAAGGGTGGCTCATCTGCAGAACTTGCCGGGTAGGTGGAGATATTGGATGGCTCTGGGAGCTCTGGGTTCTGGACTCTGGCACCTCAAGAGTCAGGATCATTGGGAATCTAGAGGATGGCGAGGCGAGAAAGACAGCGCGCCCTTTTTCCTTTCTCCCCAACATCAGGGTCTCCCAGAGCTGATGGCGAAGCGGGTGTTAGCCCAACTGGCTGGAGCCCTGGACTTCCTCCACGGCCGGGGCCTGGTGCACGCAGACGTCAAGCCGGACAATGTGCTAGTCTTCGATCCTGACTGCAACAGGGTAGCCCTCGGGGATTTGGGTTTGACCCGACCTGAGGGCAGCCCAACCCCCGCGCCACCAGTGCCTCTGCCCACCGCACCACCTGAGCTCTGTCTCCTGCTGCCGCCCAACACCCTGCCCTTGCGGCCTGCTGTGGACTCCTGGGCCCTGGGCGTGCTTCTCTTCTGTGTTGCCACAGCCTGCTTCCCTTGGGATGTGGCTTTGGCCCCCGATCCCGAGT